CGCGTGCCCGGCATCTGCGGCCTCGGGAGGCGGCCGCTCTGGTCCTCAGGGAAGGCCCCTCGGCACGGAGTTCCTCTCGGTGCCCGGGCACGGCCTCAGGGAGAAAAAAAATAGTGTTCGTGTTGTTATTTTATTCTGTTTTGGTTGGAGTTTTCGGGAGGTAGGGAAGCTGGCTGGGAAATAAGGCGCGGCGGCTTCGCAGCGAGGGCTTCCGCCTTCTCCTGGGGCCGGGGAGAGCGGAGAGGGCTGATCCGAGACCAATCTGCCCCTCCCCGACTGAGGCCGAGACCCCACTGCACCACCCCGGCCGGGGCCGTGTGGGGAAGCGAGCGTCGGTGCAGCTCTTCTCGGAGACAGGCGGCAAGGCGGCCTGGCACCCCTCTCTCCTTCCCGCGGGGGTTTTGGTGAAAAAAAAACAACTCACCCCGCACTTAAACCCCGAGCACCGAAAAGACTCGAAGTTGGGGCCTTTTTGGCTGAGGGGAGGCGGGCGGGGTGGGAGCCGTCGGCCGCCCATCCTTTCCGTACCGCCGCCGAGCTGAAGGGCGGCGTGAAATGAAGCGGTGGTTAGTGTCAGCGGGTGGCTAAATAAAGCCCGGCTCTCCCCTTTGCCAGTTGTTTGTGCCTCTCCGGACGGGGTATTAGCAAATTCTGGAGTGGAAGGTCTGCTCTCGGTCGCGATCTCTAAGCAGCTTTATTAAAACACACCAAATTTAAAAAAAAAAAAAAGAGGCGGATGAAAACACACTCCAATACGGAGAAAAGCTTACCGTTAGGGCCATCTAATTCAGTAATTTCGAGAGCAAGTACTAGCCGTGCTACGGAAAGCCAGGGCTCCTTCGACGTGCGCTCCCGAAGCGCGCCGAGCCAGCAGAGCAAGGGGAAGCGAGGCGTTGCTCCGTCGCGATTTCCAGCCATTATCACCCACCGAGACATTTCCCGATGAGAAAGAGCGCCTTGTAATTTCGAGGAGCGTCCCGCCGGCCCTTGCTTGGGTACATGCCCCCCGGACGGCTTTGATTTAGGAGTGAAGAAAAGTGGCACGTTTCGGGATGCTGCTGAACGTGTCCCCGGTTTTCCGGCCCTACTGATCCTCCAGTGCAACCGGCCGACCCCGAGAGCAGGTTTATACCCACAGCTCGGGTGTGTTTTATGTGTCTGCCTTAAACAGGCCAGGCGTGCGCTTCCGCACACTCTGCTTATTAAGAGCCACGTTTAAATGCATACAGCGAATTCCTGATCTTTCATCGTCTTTAAGTACGGATGGAAATAACGTTTAAAACCAAAGCTTTGCATCCAGGGATGACACGCCGGGGAAATTACCGCCTCTGCTCCCCGAGCTGTGCCTTTGGTGTCTGGGAGGGTGGAGGACAAAGGCGGGGGGAGCAGGAGGGAGTGGGCCGCTGGCAGTGCCCGCTCCCCCGCCGGCTGCAGTGGGGTGCTTGGTCCCTCATTGTCCCTCTTTTTCCTTTCTCTCGGGATTTGTCTGCCAAAGGAGGGGAGAGGGGTTGTGCCACTCCCTACCCTCGCCCCCCCATACCCAGAGGGTGGTTTCCAGTTGCCTTTACTAGGGAGAGGGAAGCCCAACAGCCCGATCTTAAATCCTGGAGGCTGCAAGACCTGGGGAAAGCACCCCTTCGAGCACGCTGAACACGATGGCTGGGCGAGGGTGGGGCTCACAACCGAGGTTGAATATGGGACTTGAAATAAAAGTGGGCACGTAATAGACCCCCTTGTCCACCGGCAGCCTCTGCTCCCTTGGTGGTGGGAGCCGCATCTCCCGCCCTCCCCTGGGAGTCGCCCCTGAAGTGGCTGCCGCCGCGGGTTCAGTGCCCCGGACCGCCCCGGCCATCACCGAGGCATCACCCACGTAAGGCTCAAGGGAGTTTAATTCTTCCAGGCCGCGACTGGGGGCTGTGAGGAGGGTGACAGGCCTGAGATGCCTCCAGCGTGGCTTCTAGGCCGTGGCAGCTGCAGCTAGCGTGATCACAAACGTTGTCCAGCTATAAAACTGATTTCCAGCTCTGTCTAGACTGGAGGGGAAGAGAGAAATAGAGAGAGAGGGAGAGAGAGGGCTGAGTTTTTAAAAACTCCAGTGGATGCTTCCTCCTTCGCGCCCCCTCTCCCCCTCCCCAGCTTTATTTCCAGAGCGAGCTGACACATAGTTGAGGCAAAGTTTGAGACTCTCATCGAGGTGTCAGGTCCCAGCTCTTCGACAGGGCTCATAAGGGCGTTCAGATAGGTCTCTCCCTGCTCACTCTGGCCAGGGTTTTCCCGATGATGTACATTTTGGACTGAACTCGCAGATCCCCCCCGCGGGGGAGCCCGATCGGACTCAAAGAAGTGAGAGTGAAAGGCGATTTATATTCTGGCTCCTTTCTGCCCCCAAAGCGCAAACCCCGGAAGGCACGATTTCGTGCTCCGATATCACAGATTTTGCTGTGCGGTTTCGCTCTGACCTTCAGATTCATGAATTAAAGTCCGGGAGACAGCAACCTACAGCCTTCGCCGCGCTCCCACTCTGTAAGAGTGTCTTCTCTTGTGTTTTGATTTTTTGCCAGCACATTTATTACTGTAGAACAAAAATACACCATGGGACTTCTTCTGTCTTGACTGTCAGTATTTTTATTTTTTCTCTCTAAATGAGCTATTGAAAGAAAGAGACGAGAGAATAAATCGCATTTTAAAAAACCGCGATTGTCTGCTCCCCCCCCCGTTTATGGCAGACTAGTTAAATTGTGATCTTATCCCTCCCTCATCCCCAACACAGTTTCTAAAACTATTAAACTGCACATTTATGGATGTTTAAACAGGATAGGAACGAGCTAATTAAGAAATTACTCAAAAGATAATATGCCCTATACAAAATAATCTGAGTAAAATGAGCGGTAGATCTTAGATGTCTTCCTTATTTCAAGGCGCAGAAAATAGAAATCACTAGGAGCATACAGAGTATTCGGCCCCTATTTAAACCTGGCCCTGAATACATATTTTAAGTAAATCAAGGCGAATTGCAGCTATTCAATCTAATTTTCGCACGCCTTCAGAAGAGGTTCGTTTATGTACTAAATAAATAAATCAAGCCCGAACCCGACGGCGTGAGTAATCCCTCTTCCAAGCCGTGCCTCTATTGTACTAACCGCTAACAGTGGTACTAAAAGGGCTTCCTAAAACCAGAAGCGCCTTTAGGGCTTCCCCGGAGCTGCGCGGCCGTTCCCAGGCGGCGAGAGCCGACAGTCGCGTCCTGCGGGGACGGGCGGCGGGGGTGGGGGCGTGGTCTCCCGCCCGGCGAGAAGAGAGGGAAGAAAGGTTGGGAGAGAGAAGGTCAATGGCGAGGGTAGCTATGACTCTGCCCGGGACCTCGCTGTTTATCCAGCGCCCGCTTTCAAGTCTGTTGACGCGATCTGGGGTTTCTGGCTCGCAGGAAAAAGCCGGATTTGGGTTGTACGGAGGGTGTTTTTGGGGGTATTTTTTGTTTGTTTGGTGTTGGTTTGGGGATGTGTTTTTTTGTTTTGTTTTAATTTTTCTCTGGGACTTGGCCTTTTTTTTTTCTCTCTTTTTTAAAAACAAAAAAAAAATTAACCTACAGCCTTGATCTTTACACCTGCCGCTCCCATCGCCCAGCCCTCGGCTGCCTTTCCAAGCCGCTGACAATGAAGCCCGCAGATCCGAGGCGGGCGAGCCGGCACATCCCTGCTGAAGTTAAGCTAACGCACCTCTGCTCCTTCCCAAAGCGACCTCGGCCTGGGAGCCTCCCGCTCCGAGCAGAGGTTACCCCCGCCGGGAACGGTGGTTCCCCGTTGGCTCCAGACCCGTTCCGGCCCCTCAGACCCGCCTGTCAAGCGATGCGATACTCTGCGCTGTCGGGACTGAGATACCTCGCCCGTCGCTGCAGTGTTTGGGGCAAGGTTTCAGCTCTGTCCCTCACCCTGCTGTCTCCCCCACCTCACGGGCTGACAGGCCGCCCTCTTCCCATCCGTCGCCGGGCCTCGCCTAAACGAGGGAGCCAAAGCTAGACGAAGGACAGGGGCCGCCTCTGCCTCGTCCGCCTCTGTTTGCTGGAGCTGGCAGCTCGCCGTTCCCCCCGGTAATTTCCTCGTTGCTCTCCTGGTGGAGGAAAGCCGGGAAAAAATCCCCCAGGAGAGGCGGCGCTGAAAATCCCGGCGCTGGTAGTTGACCCGGGTGGCTATTGAATAACGCGGGGAGGGACCGAGCGCTCCGGGAGAGCGGGGGGGGGACAACACAGTAGACACAAAGGAAATACTCCAAGTTGCAGGGCAATCCGATACTTAACATAATACATGGCTGAGTAAGTCTTTTAGCTGAATCCCAAGCAGAAAAGCTACCGGGCTTTCAAATGTGTGTGTGTGTACACGAATTTATATATTTGGAGAGCAAAGGTGGGAGTCGTTCCCAAATATTTCTAGATCTTATTACAGTTTAGCTCACTCCCCTCTCTGGAAGCTGGGAAATGGTACAAAGTGAATGTTTGAGGTACTTTGAAAAACAGCCAGAGATGTCAAAAGGCGGTAGAGGGGAAGCGTGCCTGGGTTTGCCGAAGGGAGGGGGACGCGTCCGGATGAAAGCCCCAACGTCTTTCAGCGGCAAAAGCAGCTCGGATTTTAGGGTGCCCATGCAAAACCCGCTCTCTGTCCCTGGGGCGCCATTGGCGGAGCCGAACTTGCCGTCCAGTGCCCAGGGAGGAGTTGACAAGCACAAGTGCGCTTTGGGCCGGTTATTTCACCCTTAGCAGGGCGTACCGCTGTGCCTGTACTGCCTTCCCAGCACGGTCCTGGTCCCGGTGGGGACGGGACCAGCGGTTGTCACAGGCATCAGTAAACGGAGGGCAAAAAGAATGAGAGAAGTTCATCTTATCCATGTTTGCCGACGGCGGGATGCCAGGAAAAAGGAGGTTTCGCCTGAGGCCGACGACCCACCCTTCCCTTCGCGGTGTTCTGCCGCGAAGTCTGGCTCTGGCTTTCCGGGCTTTACGCTACCGACAGCGCCCGGAGTCGCCCTAAGCCGCTGGCTGTAGGTGACCTCCTACCCTTTTGCAAGGCAAAGGGGCTGCGCTCGGGGGACAGGCCACCCCCACGGGGGTCCTCAGCATTTGCAGGAGGGATGTGCCACCGTTGAAGCGGTGTAGGAAACACTCGCTCTGTTCCAGCAGCTCTTTTTGGCCTTGTTCCAGTCCAGTGATTGGAAATGCGCGTTATTTACTGGCCGGGCAGGAGCGGCTCAGCTGAGGCTATTGCATCCATATGTTTACAGGACGTACATTTTCGCGTTTGCAAATCTCTCGGAAGACAAGTTAATGGGCGTTAGCCCTTCGTCCGAAAGTCAGGTTTTGTTCCGTTTTGTTTCCACCTTTAAGCGATCTGCTGGTGGATTAAATGACAAATTAATCGGCTTTAAAATAAGCTTAGGCGAATGCCAGGCTGATCCACCAAACACGTTTACGTTTGATGAGAGTTCGCAATTGCAACTCCAATTAACGATTTAAAAGGGAACAAATCTGCGGAAGTTACTTCCCCTCCCCCCCCCCCCCCCACACCGGGTGAGGCAATAGC